TTATCGGGCACATAAACATGCAAATAATTGGTATCGGTTATAAAATATCAATATCGGTCGATCACTAATATTCATTAAAGAATCCTGAAATCCTGTTTCACAGGTTCCACAAAAATAAATCAACATATTAAAATGATTTCTGAAGGACCATGTGACATTGAAGACTGAAGTAATGGCTGCTGAAAATTCAGCTTTGCCATCACAGGAATAAATGGCATTTTAAAATATATTAAAACAGAAAACCGTTATTTTGCATTTTAATACTATTTTATGATATGTGACCCTGGACCACAAAACCAATCTTAAGTTGCACTGGTATATTTGTAGCAATAGCCAAAAATACATTGTACGGGTCAAAATTATAGATTTTTTTTTTTATGCCAAAAATCATGAGGATATTAAGTAAAGATCATGTTCCATGAAGATATTTTGTAAATTTCCTACAGTAAATATATCAAAACTTAATTTTCGATTAGTAATATGCATTGCTAAGGACTTCATTTGGACAACTTTAAAGGCGATTTCCTTGATATTTAGATTATTTTGCACCCTCAGTTTCCAGATTTTCAGCCAAATCTTGTCCTATCATAACAAACCATACATCAATGGAAAACGTATTTATTCAGCTTTCAGATGATGTATAAATCTCAATTTCGAAAAATTGACACTTAAGACTGGTTTTGTGGTCCAGGGTCACATATGAAATTTGGTCATACAGTATGAAACAAGCACAATACTTAAAAAGTCTTATGAGATCAGCTTGGTTTTTCTATTCCATTGACATTTCACCATCTGAAAATGTTCAAATACTGTTTGTCTTCATTTGTCTTCTATTGTTTTTAACTGCATAATTTAAAACCTCACAAACGTATTTTGTGAAATGTTTTGGTTAAAAAGTTGCGTTATACCATGCGGTCAGCACATGGTAAACATATTCTATACAGTTTTAGGTGTGGTTTAAGTGTGCAAATACTTTTTATGGCTGTTGTATGTAAAATGCTAATTCTAAATAAATAATAATTAGACGTAGCAAAACAAATTGTAAACATTTTTCTCTATTGATTATTTTCACACATTTTGAAAGCAATTTTTTGGTGAATGGGACAAAAACCTTCCTTCTTCTGTAATTCTAAAATAAGACTCTGAAGGTCCTCACCTGCTGGTATAACAGGAATAATCAGGCAGGCGGTTCCTCCAAGGAGCAGCACTGCACTCTGGCAAATCCTCCTTCCGAAGCGCTGAATGAGAGGAAAGCAGGACAGCCGGGCGGGAAACTCTGCAATGCCAAAGATGAGTTGAGTCAGGTAAATGTCCAGGCCGAAGTTCCCCACGTTCAAGCTGACACCATAGTAAACCAGGCTCGTCACAAACCTACGATGACATAAATAAACATATGATAAGACTCTCAGCTGCTTTTTTAAATCAGATTAGAAAAGTTTTCACAGCTTGATTTGGTTCTAAAATCAGTGATAATGCTTTATTGTTAACATTTTATGCTGTTGTATTTCACATATTATATTGTATTTAATATCAAAAACTGGGGGACTTTAGAGAGGTTTACCCACATACAAGCTCCTGAATGGTAAACTTGGATAAAGCATCAAAGGTATGGCATCTTATCACATTTTGGATAGTAGATATGGGAAATGCTAGGATAACTCACCACATATAGCACATGATGAGAGCTCTCTTTCTTAGGTAAGCCACTCGAAACAGGTCTAGCATGGTGCCTGTTTTAGCTGTGTTCTCCGCTTCCATCTGATAAGGCATCCTTTCATGTTAACTGATCATTTTAAAAAAATTACTTTTGATTCAACTATATGTTTTAGAATTAATTTGATCGTTTACAGTTTTTCACCCAAAAAGGAAAATTTGCACCAAAAAAAAAAAATTATTATCACTCTCAGGCCATCCAAGATTTAGATAAGTTTAGTTCTTTCTTGGAACAGATTTGGAGCAAGTTAGTATTACATCACTTGCTCACCAATCGATCCTCTGCAGTGAATGGGTGCCATCAGAATGAGAGTCCAAACAGCTGATAAAGACATCACAATAATCCACAAGTAATCCACACCACTCCAGTCCATCAATGAATGTCTTGAAAATCAAAAAAGCTGCGTTTTGTTTGTAAGACAAAATCCATCATTAAGAAGTTTTTAACTTCAAATTGTTGCTTTCAGCTAAAATATGAGATTCTGATGGCACCCATTCACTGCAGAGGATCCATTGGTGGGTAAGTGATGCAATGCAAAATGTCTCCAAATCTGGAGAGCCTGAGGCTAAGTAAGTTTTCAGCAAATTTTCATTTCCGGGTAAGCTATGCCTTTAATTCTTCTCTTAGACCAAATAAACCTTGGCAAAGAGAAAAAGGTCACCTTGTCGAGCAGATTTTCGGGCACCTTTCTGCCATTAATTCGGGCAGCGTTCAATATCTCTTTCTTGGCCCTGTCTTGCTTGCCCTGAGTCAGAAGCCATCGGGCAGATTCAGGGAGAATCCTGCCAAATACACAGACAATTATTAGAAAAGAAAACGCCTCATAAAAATTTCAAAAACAATAATAATAAAAATAAAAATGAAATAAAAGCAATAAAATAAAATGACAAATGTATGTATGTATGTCATGTGACCATTAACCGACATCAGAAAACCATGAACATGCAAATCAAAGGTTTGGGAATCACTGGTACAGAATAACTCTCACCAGTAATAGATGCAGAAAAGCCCAACTGGTGCTGACAGAACCAGCTGTAAAATCCTCCAGTTTCGGATCCCAAAGGACACACCAGACAGCAGCATCAGACCAATGGCATAAAAGCAGTGTGACAATATGGTAAAAAGGGCCCGTTTGGCTGAACCACACCACTCAGTACCTAAAACACGTTTGAGATACCATGAAATTCATCTGCTGAGATCCAAAACAGGTGCTATATGCATTTTCATAGTGATTTTTTTTGTTACAGGGAATTTGTTTAAAGCATAAATTCTCTTTCTACATGCAGTCTAAATATCTAAGCAAAATTTCTGACTTTTTAATGTACTGGCATTAGGAGGAGTCACGTGTTACCCAAAACAAATGTGTTGATAGAAATCCCTGATATTGTGGTGCCGACCACAAAGCGGAGAGCTATGTAGACAAAGATGTTGGGAGAAAATGCTACTGCCACCCCAAACAGAAACTGCAGGAACAAGGAAAGCAGCGTGACAAACCGCCGGCCATACCTGTGGTAAGAAAACGTTAACCTGTACAGTTATTAAAACACTAACATAAAAAATAGCCCTTGATGGGTTTTAAAAACAAACTGAATAATCTGAAAGTTTTGTTTTTGGAAAAACTCCAAAATAATCATAGTATGTAAAATATCATTATGTTGATCAGGGATTGTACTCTACACATACTTGTCTGCCATTGGCCCAAACAATAGGGCTCCAATAAGAAGACCAGCCATGTAGACAGACTGAGATGCCTCATTATATATCTTATTTTCACACACCAGGTCAAACTATGATAAGATAGGAAAAGAAAACATGATAAAAGACAACAAATGATGTAAATTAAAATGATATGTAGGGAGATGTTACATTTCATATTAACTTTCATAACTTACAATATTAATACACATTATACAAAGGGTAGGTTTTTCAAAGTCAATTTCTGTAAAAAAGGTATACAGTAAAGTCCTAGACCTTGAACTTTTTTAAATTTAAATTTCAATCATTATTGTCAAGGGAAAAAAGCACACAGTGACAAACCACTATTATGATGATAAACGTTATGCATTAGGCCTATATAGCATTTGGTTTCATGCGAACAATGTGATGACCATAGATGAAAACATAAAAATAAACGTATTTGCGTTACGAGAAGTCAAAATTCGGTTCACCAGTAAATTAGGTAGCCTATTGTAGCAGGTATTGCAAAAATAGTTTTTATGTCAAAAGCTCTTTCAAACGTGGTCTTAATCACAAAAGTTAGATTACAAGTTCGCAAAATACACTCGCGAACAAAAATTGTCTTTGCCTGAGGAGGTAACCATGGCAACAGCTACTTGATCGCTGTCTAGCTATTATAAATAAAACAAGCAAACTTTTACAGGTGTGAACATAACACATATTTTAAAAGTCTTTGTAATGTAAGTTAGCTGACATTCAGCAAACTGCACAAGAGCTAGAGGCGCCAAAAGACTAACGTTACTGAAATAGCTAGAAATTGTTACTTAGCTAATTTAAAAGTTGACTCCTTTGAAAGTCATTTTTTTGAAAGTCAAATATTGTTTTACTTTTAATAATATAAAATCAACACATTTTATATCACGTGTAGGGTATCATAAAAACATTACGTTGAAAGTGTAACAATGAATATATTAGTATTTACATGATTTATATGAAAAGGCATAGCTTTTTAAATTTAAGAAAAACTAAACTAAAACTCTTATAACCATATAGTGATAGGCTGCTTTATTTTAAAAAGTTGACCTAACTTACCTCAGTTATGAGTGCTGCTGCCTTCTGGTGCCTTATAAACCCATCCATCAGAACATGATGTCGTTGTGTTTATTCCATAAGCTTCAATAACATCAAGCTCAAGATCAACAGGTGAGAACATCTTACAGCTCTCATACTGTCCTTCAGTGTCCAGAGGGATGGTGAGGTTCAGCTGCTTCTCCTCTGTCAGGTTGGGAGCCCGCTGTAAAATCCAGCTGCTGTTGCAGTTGTGAGGGAAGCTGATGGCGGTGAAGACCTGACCGAACATGTGGAAAGCTGTGAAGATGTTGGGGAGACATACCGCCACCAGCAAGCGCTTCTGAAACGCCCCAAACTCGCCGACAGACGACAGGATCTGCGCGAAGTCTATCATGATGACCACTGGGCGACCACCAGCGGCGGCTCGCGCTTAAAACACCTGCGCCGCGGTTCACCTTTGCGGAGCGAAATTAATTTTTAAACGTGTCACAAGTTCAGCATATCTACAGCGCTCTTATCTGCTAAGACAAAGATAAAGCACTGTTTTTTTTCACAGCGACAAGGACAGCCAGAAGATTTTAAATTAATAGCTATAAAATATGATCCTATGCAAAAGAAGGTATTTAATAGTAGATTAACAAGCTGACTCTAGTGGTTGAAATGTACTGAGAGGAATTCCAGCGGTGTGTTGTATGTGTGTTTGCGTGAGGGACTTTGGATCATGAGGCTAATGCAGTTGGGGCCTTTTTGCCAGTTAAGGCGGTCTTAATATTGTGGTAATATGTAAACTGTTGTGATATGCTTGTGGGTTCGAGCACAATATTTAGACAACGCTGTATATGTGTCACAAAGTGGTCACACTATCAAGGGAAAAAGTGAGATGATTGTGACAAGAAGAGGAAAGGCTAAATAAAGGCAAAACTTTTTTTTTAACAAATATGAATTTAAAGGGATAGTTCACACATTATTCACGAACCCTCATGTCGTTCCAAACCTTTATAAATGTCTTTCTTCTGCTGAACACAAAAGAAGACATTTTGAAGAATGCTTGCAACCAAACAGATGCTGGTAGCCTAACCATCGACTTCCATGGTATTTTCCTTAGGGTTACTCCAGTCAACCTGATGAAAATGTGCCTTTTAAAATCATTTTCTAAAAATGATTCCAAACCTGTATAAGTTTGGAAGAACAAAAAAAGAAGATATTTTGAAGAACCAAACAGTTGTTGGTCTCCATTGACTTCCATAGTAGGCGGTGGTGGGGGGTAACTATGGAAGTCAATGGGGACCATCAACTGATTGATTACCAGCATTCTTCAAAATATCTTCTATGTTCAACATAAGAAAGAAACTCATACAGGTTTGGAACGACATGAGGGTGAATAAATGATGACAAAATCTTCATTTTTGGCTGAACTATCCCTTTAAGTTGTTTTTCTATGCTGTAAATCAAAATGAACATGATTTTTATATAAAAGTCATATTCAATAATATTCAAATACAGTAATATATACTGTAACCAGTAAGGAGGCATATTAGGCACCTTTTAAATTAATTCTTTATTGATTTTAAAGCATTTAAAAACATTCCTTAAAATTCAACACAAGCTAAAGAAAATTAAGTGGAAATATAAAGAAAAATATACTGATATTGATACTGTTTTTGCTTTTAATTTTTATTTATTACAGTAAACTGACTGTGAAGGCGTCTGTCCTTGTACAACACTGCTCCACATTAAGGACTTATAAAAATGCATTATTATTAAGACTGGATATTATTTAATTATATACTATATAATAATGTTGACCTTTGATCTACGTAGAATAAATTCCTTATTCAAAGCAAAACTCGCCTTTTCAATGCAAGCAATTTTTTTCTTATTATTTTAGTGGACAGCTTTGTTGTGATTGCAAAGAGGTGAAAAGAAAATACTTGTGCATCAAATCTTTCTTTCACTTCCCTCCTATTAGCTTTTGAATCTTCCCAATAAAACTGGAAAAAGGTTTTAAATTATTTATTTTTATATATTATATATGTTATATAATTATATATATAAAATAAAATGTCAAAAAGGGCAAAGGGGATTAATATAATAATAATAATAATAATACTAAAAATCAGGCGAAACACTGCTTTAAAATAATTAAGTTGCTTAAGATTATTCCAGGCTGTTTTTGCACAAAGGTAGTGATATGTTTAAATGAGATTTCTAGGGTGAAGTAAACAACCTCTCATAAATTCAATGAGAACTTCAGCAGGTCAGAACAGACCTGCTGAAAACACCAGGCAGATTTATGCTACATAAGACCCCAGTGTGATTATAGGCACCCTCATAGACAAAAAGAAAAACCAACACTCACAATGTGTCTTTTGTAACTGACACCACCTCCCATCACCTTATTTATGAAGAACACAAAGGCCATGAGTGAAACATCCCATATAAAATCAAACCAATGGCAAATTACATTATTTACATGCTCAATTGAGTTGATCCACAACAGAAATACACATGAATACTTAAGAGTTCAATTCCAGAGCAGGAAAAAGCCAAACACCAAACTTTCATCAGGTACCTCAGGTACTTCTACCTTTTCACATACAGAGAGACTTATAAAAATGAAAAGTCACAGATAATGTCAAAAAAATTAAAACCAAAATTCACAAATGAATGCAAAATCTAAAAAAGGAGAGATATGTGTGATGTAGAAATGTGTAGAAACATTAAGGCAATAACTTTTAGAGCAGCATGGGATAGTAACATTTGCGAATGTGCCAAGTTGAGACAGCAAAAAAGGTTGGGAAAGCAGTAAAACCAGCCTTCAGGAGTGTTCATTAGGGCTCAATGACACTGAATGAATAAATCATTTCATCTTATGCGGCTAATCTGCAGAATTTGAAATATTTGAGAATTTTTCTGTTTGTATTGATACTAGTCCGTGTACAATGAAGAAATCAAGCTCCGAGTATAACAGCAGAGAAAGTAAACGAGTGCAACAACCAGAAGTAGAAATTTCAAAACCAGATGCTGTAAATGTTCAACAAGCTGGTTTAAACTGAAGTAAATAATGCAAGCTGTGGGATAAAACATGCTTAGCTGCTTCTCTTCAAAAGCATAGAAAAAATATAGGTTAAAAAATAAAGCTATAACTATAGCTAAACCCATTTACTTCCTCTATAAACTCCATGTTTCTTTGAGTTTCGCTCCTCTTTTATGCACTCAGTAGTTATATTGGAGGCATTTTTGCATTGTTCATTTTTAGGTTGTCAGTTCAGATTGTGCAAAACTAGGGCAAATGTAGAAAAAAGAAAGAAAGAAACATTAAAAGAATATTAAGGTTATATCTGGTTATGATAATTGCATCCTTATACAAATAAATCCTAAACTTTATTTTAATCGACTCCTACAAATTCTGATCATTCGCATGTTTGTGCAACTCTTCCGTTGGGCTGTTTGAAATCCTATGGGCTGGCGCTATGGTATCTTTCTCTTTGGCAACAGTGGTTTCTTTAGGGCAATTGAAAGAAGAAAAAATACATAAATGTGTCATTCGGTCGGTAGTGTTGGTTTGCTTTCACATTTGTAGGCAAGTCACGGTCCTGCACAGAGCCAAAGTTTAGCTAATGCTGAGCTGAGCAAATCCCAAGAGTTTGACATCGTCAGGAATCTCAGAGCCCTCAATGCCAGAGGCCTGAAAAACACCATGCATGACGTGTTACTGCAAAACACCAGTGAGGACTAGCACACAGTGGCTTTAACCACTCACCAGTTTAAATGTGACATTTTTATTGGAATGAGGCTCTTCGACTATCTTCTGCAAATTAGCAGCCACTAAAATGACACAAAACAGAGGTTTAGGAACATGATACATTAAAGTTAAGAATTATTTCATCTTGACATTGCAATTTATTATCTTTACATATTGCACATCAATTTAACTTTCAGTAGAAATCCTTACAGGCTAACATTTCCTGTTATATATAATTACTGTAATTCTGTACATATGCAGTAAAATCAGTAATATTGTGAAATATTACAATTTAAAATAACTATATATAAATAAATATAACAATTTTCTATTGTAATCTATCTTAAAATGCCATTTATTTTTGTGATGCAAAGCTAATTTTTCAGCAGACATTACTCCAGTCTTCAGTGTCACATGATCCTTCAGAAATCTAATATGCTGATTTGGTGTTTAAGAAACATTTGATCATTATCTGTTGAAAATGGTTGTGCTGCTTAATATTTTGGTGTAAACTGTGATGCATTTATTTTAGGATCAGTATTCTTCGATGAACAGAAAAAAAAAAAAAATAGCATTTATTTGAAATAGAATCTTTTGTAACATTATAAATGCCATAATTATCACTTTTGATCAATTTAATGCATTCTTGCTCAATAAAAGTATTAAATTTCTTACTAAAAATCTTACCTATAACTAAATCTCTCCCATCTACCAAGCCAGCCGATACCAGCTCCTGAGAAACCCCATCTGCTGTGTCTACAGAAAAAGAAAATGTGATGCATTAACCCCACTTTAAAAAAAAATGACTCACTTAGACCAACAAACCTTAAGTCTGGCAAATTACAACCTCCTGCATATTGAACTGACAAGCTTGTAGATCTTCCAGAATGAGGCTGACAACATAATAACTGATCAGCTGCACACAACATGCTAACATACTATAGTGAGTACAGAGAGCAGAATGAAGACGACGTGTTCGGGCACAAGAGCATTCTCACGCAATACATCAGGCCATCAGAAATGGACATCTCCCCTGGAGCCAGCTAAATGCGCATTACACTAAATGTTTTATTTTGGAAGTCTTGAAAATTCACAACACGGCACTGACAAAATGCAGATGCAGAGAACTGGTGCTCTTTGACATCTGATGGTAGAAAAAATATATATACTCTAGCTTTGCTTTAGCCTCTGCTGGAGGGCAGAGAGAGCTGAGATATAGAGAAACTGATGATAAATTGATTTGTTAAAGGAAAACACATTGGACAAAAGAACTTCCCAAGTGTGTAAATCGAACGGATTGAGATGTTCACCGCCTTTGACAAATGTGACAACTCTCAACCACAATATTGAGTGGTTTTCTAAAGAGTCATGAACACTTTGGGAAAACATCTGCATTAAAGGGATACTCCACCCAAAAAAGCGACACCGATTCATCAACTGGATTACACCAGTGTTCGTTTTGCATGTTCTTTCAAGCGTCATCTTTGAGGGACCCATTCACTGCCAGAAAATAATTATTTCTCTAAAAATCTCAGTTTGTGCTCCACAGAAGAAAAAAGTACACCTGGGACTGCGTACTGGGACTGAGGGTGAGTAAATGATGACAGAATTGTAATTTTAGGGTGGAGTATCCCTTTAAGAGTGTATTGTGTGGACTTTTTATTGCTTGATTTATTGTTGACTATTAGCCACGTCTTTACGCTCTTACCTCTGCCAGGCATGAACTCAAATCGTATGTCATTCAGTTCCTTTTTCAAATTTCTACAGGACAGAAGGAGAAATGTAAGTCATCTACTGCTCCTGTCAACACTGGATCAACCTCAATTAATGAATCAAAAGAAAAAACACATCTTACCTTAACCTTAATACTAAACTGATGGGGGATGGTGAGGCATCGCCAGGAACTGGGGCCTATGGATGGAAGCAGAGGATCAGACTCCCTGTACAGACTGAGGTGACATAATAACTTCATGCTTGATACAACAGCTTTGATTGGAATAGAGATGTCAAAACGTGTGAAGTACGATTTGTTGCTGGTGCTCTACCTGTGCAGGGTTCGCAGCCGGGGTCGGGGTTGTACTTGGGGCAGTGTGTTGAGGGTTGGCCGGGCCCTGGCCGGCAGCTTTTAATGTATTTTTGAAGAAAAAAAACAAACAAATAATGTATATATATATATATATATATATATAAATTAGACATATTATTACGGTACATTAGTAAATGTTCAAAGAATATAGTATACATACTATACATGCATTTGAATCGCATTTAGTTATTGTTTAGTAATAAAATGTTATTTTGTGCTTTTTAATTCAACTTTATTTAAAAATAATTGTAGTCTGTACAGTGTAATTCATTACTTTTTACAATGGACACTGCATTGCAGGATACAGTATTCTACAGAGTGCCCTGTTTATTTTGCCAAATACAGTAGGTCTATGTATTTCATGCATAATGCATTAAAAATGCATTATATAATACATAGTACATACAGCAGGAATCATAAGAATAGTTCATTAATATGGTATTTGGAAAGGTTCCTCATGGTTTACAAACCTCTGTGTCCTGGAGTCCTTCTTTTACTCTTGGTGACTGTGTGTGAGAGATAAAAGGTCAAAGGTCAAACTCAAGTCTTGTAATAATATAAGAATGGTGTGGGTTACTGTAATTCAGCTTTGGATTTGAACACACTGTAGTAAGGAATGAAGCAGGGAGTCAAGGTCCTTCATGAGTATTTTATTTTACACTTGTGCTATGATGTTAAGTATTTATAGTTTTAGTAAAATATCCTTCAAGAACTGAAGGACTACTGGCATTGTTTTAAAGAGATAGTTCACCCAAAAATGAAAATTACCTCATGATTTACTCAGCCTCAAGCCATCCTAGGTGTATATGACTTTCTTCTTTTAGACGAATACAATCGGAGTTATATTAAAAATGTCCTGGCTCTTCCAAGCTTTATTATGGCAGTGAATAGCTGTTGAGATTTTGTAGCCCAAAAAAGTGCAGCCATCCATCATAAAAAGTGCTCTATAGGCTTCGGGGGGTTAATAGAGGCCTTCTGAAGCGAATTGATGCGTTTGTGTAAGAAAAATATCCATATTTAAAACTTTATGAAAACTAATCTCCAGCTTCCGCTAACTGTCGTACGTGACAGGATTTGTAAAGAAAAATGTTGTGAATGTGCGCACGACAGTTAGCGGAAGCTAGAGATTATGGTTTATAAAGTTTTAAATATGGATATTTTTCTACATAAACACATTGATTCACTTCAGGAGGCCTTTATTAACCCCCCGGAGTCATGTGGAACACTTTTTATGATGGATGGATGCACTTTTTTTGGGCTTCAAAATCTCAATCCCCATTCACTGCCATTATAAAGCTTGGAAGAGTCAGGACATTTCTTAATATAACTCTGAGTGTATTCGTCTGAAAGAAGAAAGTCATATACACCAAGAATGGCTTGAGGTTATCATGGGGTAAATTTCATTTTTGGGTGAACTATCCCATGCACAAAGAGCTTGTATGGAGATTTTTCCATCTACAGATTTTTCCCTGACCTTCTTTTCTCTGAAAAACACAATCACTACTCAGCAGTCAGATGCCCGTATGTACAAAGGCACAGATCCCTAAACAAGACTATATCTGCAGATGAAACTTTGTTTGTAGAAGCATTTTTTAAATTTGAACTAGCACCTCATGACTACACCGCGTTATGTACGAGAAGCTGCAAAAGACACAGGTGCAAGTGGAATGTAGAAAACATGGTGACATAAATTTAAGTAAATATAATGGGCAATATATTGCGCCACCAAAAATTATTGAGGTCATGTACATATATTGCGAGATAAGTCGATATATTGATTATTGCGACAGGCCTACCTTTAAGATATGCAACCAAATTACACAATATCTGCCTAGAACATATTCTATTCAATAGTATGAACTACATACATCCAATGGTGTTCCACAACCCTTAACCAAACAGACACAATTAAACACTGCCATCTAACCTTTATTATATAAAGTGATTTTTATACCGGAATACAAAGATCATAGTGACCAGAAGTGACCATATTGCGTGTTAGTGCCTAAACCAACAGAAGTCTCATTATGAGCCTGTTAAACAGAATCTGGATGGTTATCAGAGAGCATTGATTTGGTCAGTATGTCAAAGTTATAAATAAAAACACAATACAGATGGCATCCAGGAAGCACACATTCTGTCTCTCTGTTCTTCCTAGCAAGAATAGTTTAGTTACACTATTTTTGCTTTACCACAGTTTAGTCATTGAGATTAGAAGTATGTGGTCAAGCTTAAAAAGCCAGGTTAAGTAGGTAATTCTGTAGCATGTATAAGCTATGGGTTCATAATAAGCAGAGGATATTGAGCAAAGGTTATCATATTAAGCGATCTAAATGATTTTATACTGTACATGATTATTTCTTGCATAGACCTGCAGAGAAACAGATTATCACAGACAGGAGAAGGTTCAATGTTCATCCTTAACCAACCTGAACTCTATTATCTTTATTGTTTTAGTCTTTGAAGCTGGATAACAATATACTCTCTAAACAAATTTTCCTTCTGATTATCTAGCACTTCCAGTTCCTGCATGCCCTAATGTTGTGCTTGACTGAGTGTGCTTCCTTGTTAAGGTGAGCCATCTGTATCAGCGGGAAAACTGAACAACCCTGGGTGGGGGCAGCTCAAGAGGATGAGAGAAACGGACTTGTCGCCTTGTCGACTTGGACTGCTGCTCCTTTAGCGGCAAACACAAAACACAGAGCCCAGGGATGAGAGGTGCCATTACAGCCAACAGCATTACAAACACCACACACAAACAAAGAGCGCAAACAACCGCTGCTGGAACTCTCAAAATGACGTGTTCAGTAGGATCTGAAATTATGCATGTGTGTGTGTGTGTGTTACCCGCAAGGCAGCAACAGCGGCTTTGCCCTCCTCGCTCTCCTCATCCAGTTCATCATCGCTCCATTCCCATTCTCCATCTTCTGTTTTATGGAGTCTCCCACTGGAGCCAGGAACTCGCCGAACCTACACACAAATATATGCAAATAAAGTACATACAAATATATACATATATAACATTACATTTTTTAAATTAATTTATATTTCTATTTATTATTATATTTTTCTATTCATCCATCATGTAGAATAAAAAGAGTTAATCAATTTTCACTTAGAAATTGCTAGTAAATTTCACAATCAATTACAAAAGGAAAAATCAAGTAAGACACTGAATTAAATGAGAAAATTTAGAAGCAGAAAGACTGAAATAGTATTTTCTTTTAACACATACTCTAATAATTTGTTTTATTTACAACTTGGATATTTTTTTACAGTGTATTCTTTAATGTACCTGAAGTGATTTTAAACTGGCTAAGTATAAGAATAATAAGTATAAGAAGCATATAATAATACTATATAAACATCTCACAATAAAGGTAATAAAACCAGGCTTAACTCAATAAAAAATTACAACATCATAAAACAATAGAAATAATACCCAATAAAATATTATACTACATTTTCCTCACCTTTCTCGCTCTCTCTATAATTGTAGGTGCTCTCTGTAATAATTTCTCCTGCAGAAATTCATTATTCTGCCAAACAAAATGGAATAGAAAGATTAATATGTTTCTAAATTATGGTAATAACCACAATTTCACCTCAAATTCATCTCCAGCCCCCTACTGGGCACTGATTCAAACTGTAGACAGGGAACTCCATTTGGCAAATAGTTTATCAGCCAGTTGAAGAGGGATGCTTATACCTAATTTTGTTTAGACACAGACATGACGGCCTAGTTATGGGACTGAACTCATTTGGGATTCATACACAAGGGGGAATGTAGGGGTATTTATATACACACACAAACAAACAGTTCATACAGAAATGAAAATGTAATCACCCTCATGTCATTTCAAACCCATATGCTGTTATTTTTTGTGAAATACAAAAGACTTCTGAAGAGTCATTACACAACTCTTACAATGTCAAGATTAAGATAAAAGCACCATAAAAAGTATCGCTTAAAATGTATCTGTGTAACAGTCCTTTGAGGATCTGAGACAGCAAACACCAATTATTAAAACAGGACTTTTTTCGTTTTTTACAGATTAGAAACTATATTTTGAAAGATACCTTGTTATGTACTAATAGAAGTCTGTCTCCTATAGAAAAACTACTTTTTCAAACACCTGGAAAGAAGTCAGTGAGTTTGTTATACGTGACCCTGGACCACAAAACCAGTCTTAAATCGCTGGGGTATAATTGTAGCAATAACCAAAAATACATTGTATTGGTCAAAATTACAGATTTTTCTTTTATGCCAAAAATCATTAGGACATTAAGTAAAGATCATTACTTAGTACAGGATCAAAGTTCCATAAAGATATTTTGTAAATTTCCTACCGTAAATATATCAAAACTTAATTTTTGATTAGTAATATGCATTGCTAAGAACTTAATTTGGACAACTTTAAAGGCGATTTTCTCAGTATTTAGATTTTTTTGCACCCTCAGATTCCAGATTTTCAAATAGTTGTATCTCGGCCAAATATTGTCCTATCCTAACAATTCATACATCAATGCAAAGCTTATTTATTCAGCTTTCAGGTGATGTATAAATCTAAATTTTGAAAAATTGACACTTAAGACTGGTTTTGTGGTCCAGGGTCACATATAAAGTTCTTAGTGTTACTTGTTTGGGAGAGGGAACTTTCTATCTCTATATGTGAGGAAAAATGGGGTAATATTTGGAAATATGCCAAATCCATTTCAGTATGTAACCGTGCCAAGGCGATACAGTTTTAAATTGTATCTGTGTAACATGAAACTTAAGTTTGCATTCACTGATCTTTTCAAGCTACACCTCTGCATTTGGATCCAAATATAGTGTGAAAGCTCCTGTATGGATTCAGAAGACATATGGATTACTTTTTGAGTTTTATTGTCCTGTTTTGAGTATAACAGTGGCAATTATGAAGTTTTGTAGTATAACAACATCTACACATAATAAAGTTATACAGATTTGCACAAAAAAAAAAAAACGAGGGTGAATAAATGATGACAGAGTAACATGGAACAATAAAATAAAATTAAATTAAAAAGTCCAGGAAGTAGGATTCTTACCTTGGCTTTCTGGAAGAATTTATGTTTTAAGAGTTCTAATGATGTTGGCCTAAAAAGCAAACACTATTGAAATACATTTGCTGTAACTTTGTGTTTTCAGGCAATATCAGCTATAACAGTCATTAGAAAAAAAACTTTTACACATAAAAAGTGTACTTTTAAAAAATGGTTAAAATCATATGTCAGCTGAATAAAATATTTGAGCAATTATTTTACACTGAGCAGGTCGAGTGTGGCTGCCATGGTGGGATCACATGACCAGCTAAACACTACTTGACATACTCTACTGTTCAAAATTTTGGGGTCAGAAAGGTTTTTTTTTTTTTTTTAAAGAAATGTATACTTTTTCGGCAAGGATGCATTGAATTAATCAAAAGTGACAGTAAAGACATTTATAATGTTACAAAAGATTTCTATTACAAATTAATGCTGTTCTTTTGAAATTTCTGTTAATCAAAAATATATAGACTGGAGTAATGATGCTGAAAACTCAGCTTTGCAGGACAGGTACAAATTAAAATATATTAAAACTGTTATTTTAAATTGTAACAATATTTCACAATATTACTGTTTTACTGAATTTTTGATCAAATAAATTCAGCTTTGATGAGCATAAGAAAGAGAGACATTTTTTTTTAAAAATGTTTTTTTTTATCTTACCGACCCCAAACTTTTGAAAATTAGTGTACTTTTCTCACATGAGCCAACAAGATTATTGCGGCTCTACTCAGCACCTTTTCTCTGGTTCCTTCTGCAAACACAACGAGATCATTTTCCTCAAGGATTTCCCATATTTCTTCAACATCTCTTTATCTGTGATTCCAGTCTCAAGGCAAGGCGGATCATTCTGCAGGGTCAACATCAACACCTGCAAACACAAACACACCCAACATGCTATTAAACATGTTTCTCATTAGAGGGATGCATGACTGTCTTAAAACAGCTGTGAGATTCATTAGAGCTCATATGGGACTGTACTGTATCTCCTACTCTTTCCTCACCTTCATAGGAGGGTATTTGTGGTAAGGAGCGGCGCCTGTGGCCAGCTCGATGGCTGTGATCCCAAAACTCCAGATGTCTGCTTTGAAGTCGTAACCTTTCACCTGCACACAAACAGTCACAGATTTGTTTAACACGAGAGATGCATCCATATGCCAGCAGTTACTGGCAATTTCACACCACATTGAAGTCTTTCGAGTTTAAAAGGACAAAATAAGAGCTTTAATTGTCCATGTAATTCAGTCCATATACAGTGAGATCCAACAGTTTGAGAATACGAGAGAAAATGCTTTTATTTGACACTTTTCCAATTTAATACCATGTGATCTCAGGACCTTTGGCCCACTGTATCTTCTTAACTGGAATCAGAATTTGTGTGCGTTTGTTCATTTGTATGGCTTTAAATGAGTACTAGTTGTTGGGCGGAAATACTTACCTGCTCCATCACTTCTGGAGCCATCCAACATGGCGTTCCCACAAACGTCTTCCGCACTTTATTTCGAGTCATGTCACCACCAGTGGCTAAGAAGGCACTTACACCGAAATCTAAAGATTAAAAAAAGTAAAAAAAGAAATAAAAAAATGTCACTGTCCAATATAATACGAAACATACTTTATTGTCATTGTATACAATATAACAAAATTCAGTATGGCAACCTTCAGAATGCAAAGGACACTTTGAGTATAGTATGTTAAAATGAAACAGGAAACAGTAATCTGCAAAACATTACAAAAATTTGACATGAAATGTTATGCTTCAGTATTCAGATGTATACATTACTTTTCAAAAGTCTGAGGTCAGTATGTTTTTATTACATATAAAAGAAATTAATACTTTTATTTGGTAAGGGTGCATTAAATTGATCAAAAGTCACAGCAAAGACATTTATAGTGTTATAAAGATTACATTTCAAATAAATGCTGTTTTTTTTTACTTTCTATTCATTAAAGAATCCTGAAAACATGCATTATGGTTTCCACAAAAATACTGAGCAATTTAGCTGTTTGTTTTTTTAAAACAATGATAATAATAAGAAATGCTTCTCGTCAAATCAGCATATCAGAATGATTTCTGAAGGATCATGTGACACTGAAGACTGGAGTAATGATGCTGAAAATTCAGCTTTGCGTCACAGGAATAAATTACATTTTAAAATATATTAAAACAGAAAAGTTATTTTAAATTGTAATAATATTTTACAATATTACTGTTTGTACTGTATTTTTATTCAAATAAATGTGGCCTTGGTGAGCATAAGAGACTTCTTTCAAAAATATTTTAAAATCTTACCGACCCAAAAATTTTAATTTCAATTAATTTTAATAAGACAATTAAATAATAAAAATAATTAAATGACAGGCAAGAAAAAAGCACTCTCTTGAGCCAGAAATATAAAAAATTCTCTCTTTAAATATCACAGCAGTATGTGCTTTTTGCATTATCTGGACTATAAAGGGCATATTTCACTGTTAGGCAGAAAGTAAGTGCAGTTAAAGAGAAAGTTGGTACCTGCGATTTGCACTGATCCGTCCTCCCCCAGCAGGATGTTTCCAGCTTTGAGATCCCTGCGGACAAACACAGGGAGTCTGTCTTTAGACACACAAACAGCTGTGCAAGAATACAGATGTGGATCACTCAAATGGTCCATGTCTGTACTGACAATGTAACCCAAAAAAAGTGCACCACTAATGCCACCAAAAGAACAGAAATAACGTTTCCTTAACACTAGACAAAAACAGCTTCATGTGACAGTATCATGAATATGATAAATGAAGCATACTAAAGAGCTACTGAAGGAGGATTCAACCCGAATGAAGTCATGTTTTATTATACTATATAGGCGTACAGCTTCTTGTATAGAAAGTCATTTCAGTGCACTACAATGAAATTATTTTCAATTGTAGTAAAAAAATATTCAAAATTAACCAGAAATGTTGTATGTTATTCTATATTAACTTAAAAGCAATATCACCCTCTCAATAATGCCGCTGGATATTCAGAACCTTGGTGTGAAGTTATATTAAAGACGCCACTGGAACCAATAAGAATATATTTAACATGATTAAAGTCAGCTCACATTAATAGGTAATTCACTTTAATATATTATTTGCATCATTTATTACATTAATTACAAGACAAATCCTGTGACAAGAGCCTTCTAAAATGTAAGTGTAATTCCCACGTCTTGCATTATATTTTACAGTCCAGCGGGGGGCAGCAGAGATTTGAATTAAACTGAAGCCGCTGACCGAAAGTTAAGTAAAGTAAATTAACTTTTGAACATAATGAGAAGACTTTGTTTCTGTTATCATAACAGTCACATTCTCTTGCCATGACGATATCCAATTATGTGCTTCAGGGGTGCAAAACCATAATTGCAACCTTTCTGCAGTATAAGCCCACACACACACACACACAGACCAACATATTCTGAGAGGCCCCAGTTGTTCACTCCTGCTGGGCAAATCAAAACACACTAACACATGTCCACTCCAAACTCAAGCGCGTTTGGAGGTGTTCCTGAAGTGTAACAGATGTTTGGAGACGATTAGAGTGGTTGGTAACACTCCTGCTGTCCGTGAGCATGACTGATAATCGCTTGCATGTTTTTTAGACAGGGTACTGAGAGAAGAGAACACGTCTGATTGGGAAAAATAGATATAAATATTTAAGAACAAGATGCGGAGGGTTGCACATGTGATCCATCTGTGTGTGAAGGACACAGAATACTTGATATACATATAGAACTTTTATGTCACAGAGGTTGAACAGATTGTTAGATGAAGGGCCACAAAATCACCATTTCTTTTCACTATTTTTATAATTATGTATATATACATATATGAACATGTATCTAAAAAACTAAAACTAGGATGAAATATACAATTTAAATATTTGTTGTGTGAAAATAATGCAGTGTATAATGTCTTCATGTGCTATCAGGAACTTCCTATTTCCCACTTATGAAGTCGTGATTACGAGCTCGTTGCATTCTTTTCTGTTAAAAATAATAGTGAACAGTGATTTGTGAATGTTGATGCTTAGCCTAAATAATTTTATCAGGAGCGTCCATGTGCGTGCTCCTGCAGTCTTAGGCCCTCCCCAAATGCTCTCATTGGTTGAGACGCGTGATGACACCCATCCCACCCCTCCTGTGACCCATGGTTTGTCTGTATGTGTATTCAGAGCCAGTGAGCAACGGACTTTCATAATAATAAAAAAACTGCTTTAATGCGCGATAAAATAATTGTCGGCGTTAATCAATTAATTCGTTAACGCGATAATAATGCGTTAACTTGCCCAGCACTAATATATATATATATTGAAGAAACACCTTCATGTGAGTTAATCTGATTAATAAAAAAAATTTAATATATATATATATATATATAATCTGAAATATTTATTAAATGTAATTGTTTTATGTTTTAATGATAGTCTACAGATAGTCTATATGTGGTGTATGTCCCATCTTACTTAAATTTTTTAATTTAACATTTAAACGTAAACACAGAACAAAAATCTGGCTATGATGATAAAACTCGGTCCATCTTCCAAAAACTGTCTAAAAGCAATAAACAAAATTTGTTTGTACATTTTTGTCAGACATCTAAAAATAACACTCAAAGGCTTCTAATAAGTCAAAAATGACCTCCCGTCACACTAGCGGTGCAGCAGAAGCAAAAAGACAAGGTCTCCTTCATTGAGATTCAGAGTCAAGCTTGCAAGTCATGGGTACTTAACCAGACTAAAAGCCTGTGAATTATTTACACTGTCTGCTTTAACAGGCCCAAGCGTGTGTAGAGGCAACAAGGGATATGAGAAGAAAGCAATTAATATAAAAAGGCAGAGAGAGAAACAGACAGATGATTTAAATTAGCCATCAGTGAGTCATCACCGCAAAGTCAGTATTGAAGTCTGAAGATGAATGTCTCAGATAAACTAGCAAAAGAATTTTTGATGAGCTTACAAAAAGACTGCCAATGAAACGGTCGTATACGCTCAGCCTACATCAACAGATTTGAATGATTTAAAGATTTAATGATAAAAGACTGAAGGGTACGAATTAGATTGGACGGCTCACTCAGTTTTTCCATGGATTTCCATTGGAAACTCAAGCAGACGTTGATTCTGAAACGTAATGCATTAATTCCATCATTCATCGCCTGAGATTAAGCTGATTTAAATGGAGTCTCGGTCCACAGGCATCCTACAAACCTCCTTTGTGTTGAAACCAGTCCAGTCTTAAAGGGATAGTTCATTTAAAAATGAAAATGGCATCATTTACACACTCATGTCATTTCAAATCTGCAAGCGGTTTGTTTTCCTGTAGAACACTAAAGATTTGTTTTTCCAACACCGATTATCAACATACAACAAAAGTCTATACAGCACCATAAAGTATAATAAAAGCAGTCCATATAAACTTTTGCTCTATATTCCAATCTTAAGTCATACAATGCACTTTGCATGAAAAACAGGCCAAAATTTAAGTCATTATTCCTTTAAAATCTTCCCCATCCAGTAAGCTGTGCCTAAAACACCCATGTAATTTGACTGATTAAGAACCAGATTTATAATGTTGGGTCAGAGTCAATCTTGTCGAGTCCGAGGCCTTAACCAATTGAGTTTGAGTGGAGATGTTTATTAATGTCTTGTTATTTTAATTTTATGTTGTTACTTTTTTTGTCTTTCATGTTCTACATAATGTGGATTAAACTGTCCAAAATGTCTGAGTCTGTGTCAAGTTCGAATACAAATCTACCCGAGCGCATCTAAGTTCATTCATAATTACAGTATGAGTCTGAGTAAGAGTCCAAGTCTGAGTCCACGACAAGTACCTCAAGTCCAATTTGTAACTGAATCGTTCTTTCAAGCCAGTTCTTTTCAACGAATAAGTTGACTTGGTTCAGAAATTGGACTGAATGATTCTTCACTCATACAATGATTCTAACTGGTTTATATGGTTTATACATATTTGTATGAAAAACTGTATAAATACATATATTATAAATGCACAAATGCTACAGCCTAATCACAAGACAAATACTGTATTTATATTCCATTACTCCTTTGATACATTTACTACATGACTACATTAATAATGTAATAAAATTTGACATGATTATCCCACATTTCTGCCACAATACTGTGGTGCATTTAGTGTTACTACAGTGAATCAGAGTGGATAAACGGTCCATGTGGCACGATTTAAATGAGTAGCGCTTAGGGCTGGGCTTTTCAGAACGTTTGACCGATTCTCGATTTTTATATGATTTTTAACTAGTCAACTTGAAAATGTAACTACAACATGATTCAAGTAACTTTTTCCTTATTAACCCTCTAGTTAAAGAAAATTCTATTCCAAGTGCACCACACATGAAGATGTCAACATGATGTAAATGTTAAACAAATCACTTGTTAAATATTTTGCAGAAAAGATGCATGAACTACAACTAATTGTACAAATTTGTCTTATCTTGTGTATCTTGTACAAACTTGTCTTATACATACTATATGTATAGCGTCTCATGCATGAAACGGCATTCTAAAAACGTGGCGCTTAAGTTAAAAGAAGTTCACTCCCATCTTCTTGCATTTTTTCCTATTCCACTGCCCATGTCGCGTCTTTGTCAACACGAAAGCGCATTCTGTATGAATGGCGCCTAGTGATATATTCTACGTACAGTCCTTAACTGAGCACGTCACACGTGAGCGGTTAATCACGTGCGCCAACATGCGGTTGGATCGTTCTTTTCTCTTTACTGTTATCGGCATATTGTCATATTACCGGCATATTGTCAAAGTGTCTAATTCTAACGATTGGTAACATTTCTATTGAAAATCGTGATTCCTCGATTTATAAAAAATAAAATAGCGGCAAAACATTAAATTCGAATTAATCGATAAAATCGGAAAAATCGTCCAGCCCTAGTAGCGCTGTTTCGTTCCTCTTTTGGTGCATAAACATTATATTGAACATTTATCAAATTCGTTATTGTTTTTTTAAGAAAACTATATCTTATTTAGAGATTGACCGATATATCGATTTACCGATAATTTTCCCGATATTTAAGCATTTTACCATAATCGGTTATCGGTTTTGTAATATTGGATTAATCGATAAACGCCGCCATCTGTGGGTGTTTTGAGAATTGCGCGCAGGATCGCCATTGCAACGTGTCTGAGGGGAGAGGAGACAACAAAAACGACATGGTGCAGGTTTGATTTGCTGTAGTTAGTAAACTTTATTTAACATAACAGCCATTTATGCACAAATCAGATGCATTACATAAATGCCTGATATGTAGTTTATGCAGCTTGGCTCTAAGAAATAGAGACCAACTCACGGAGTCATGTAAGATAATCCGTCAAGTCCTGTCCCAATAAAGACGTAACTTTGCCTGAATTAAATCATATGCAGTCATGAATGAGCGCATGATGGAAATAAAAGCGCTGAATTTAATTCTCTCTCTGTTGTCTATGCTCATCGTTAGTCTCGTGAAGACGGAGTCACGTAGATAATCCGTCAAGATCCTCTCCCAATAATGACATAACTTTGCATGAGTTAAATAATACAGCCATGAATGAGCGCATGTTGGAAATAAAAGCGCTGAATTTAATTCTCTCTCTGTTGTATATTTGCTCATCATTAGTCTTGTGAAGTCGCTTTCATATTGCTGTTCACTCACCGGGTTGATGCTCAGGAAATGCTCCAGCACGGCCACCGCATGTAACTTTTAACAAGATTCACTTGTTTAAAACTAAATTGTATTAACATTTACTATATAACCAGGGGTGCACATAAGTACTCCGCATGCGCGAACAAAATAAAAAATGTGCTGTATAAATAAGTTCTGACAGTGACAGTGAAGATTTTAAAATTATTTTCAACCTTAATAATGGTTAGAACTATTTCTTGAGGTCACCATATTAGAATGATTTTTGAAGGATCATGTTACACTGAAGAAGACTTAAGCAATGGCTGCTGAAAATTCAGCTTTGCATCACAGGAATAAATTACATTTTAGAATATAAAAAAAAAAAAACAGTTATTTTAAAATGTAATAATATTTCACAATATTACTGTTTTTACTCAAATAAATACAGCATTGGTTATATTTCATTCAAAAACATTTTTAAAAATCTTACAAACCCCAAACTTTCAAATCATATTTTGTTTATATATGTATATACAGGGGTGCACATAAGTGGTCAGCAGGTCCGCATGCGTGACCAAAATAAAAAAATGTGCTGTATAAATAAGTTCTGACAGCGCATTTGCGTACATGGTTGACAGCTGTTAATGCACAATACCATTTTAGATTGACAAACTGTACTGTATAAGATTTCTATTCAAAAGCATAAATCTATGCTACCCGCTGCCATTTTCAAAGCACAATGCAAAACATTTCATTCACTGACGCTCTTCGGCAGCGCTACACCCGGAAGCACATATACTACTTACTTGCCGGCAACCCGCCAAAATAAAAGCCTGCTGATTTTAAGGTTGAAAATTATGAAAATTCATATATAAAAATAAGTAAATATTAGCATTTTATTTTTAAGTTTACTATAAAATAATTGTATTTGTATTTAATACTCCCTTTTTATTTTTAAATATAATAGTATTATCACACTTTATTATTTTGTTTATTATATAATAAAAAAAACGAACGAAATAAAGTGAAATAATATTATCACTATTACTAATTTATTGTTTTATAGTTATAGTAATTTAATGGGTCACACTATGTGCAATGTGAGGACCAAATCAAATCTCCAGGTTCTCTTATGAGAACCAGGCTGAAAAACATATGTGCACCCCCGATAATTGGTATCGGTTATAAAAAATCAATATCGGTCGATCACTAATCTTATTGTTATCGTTTTATCGTCTAGCCCTAGTTACTATTAAAAAGGGAGCTGTGTAAATATTCTTTTAAATTCTCCTTTTGTGTTAAACAGAAAACAGCATTCGGGTTTAGAACAAATAAATAATGACAAGTTACATTTTTAGGTCCAGTGTTCCAAAACTTTTCCAAAAGTGTATTACCTGTGGATCTGTCCATTTTTGTGAAGGTACTCAAGACCCTGAAGGACCTCTTTCAGCACAGTAGCTATACTGGGTTCATCCAGTACACCGTTCTTGTGTTCCCCCTTTGAAATGATGTGCTTTATAACATCCAACACAGAGCCTGCAACAAAGACAACAGAGAGCTGTAAGTAGACATAATGTTATACAGTCATTAACACTAGAAGAGCATCTGCGAAGGACACATGCTACATTCTAGAGCATTTTGTGGCAGACTTATAACATCAAAAACCAATGAGCTTCATTCTTGTGCGGCCTTCTTACGTGCCTGAAAGTTTTTCGTAAGGTCAGACACAAATTTCATAATCTATAAAAAATGGCTCTGGCTGCATCCCAAGAATCTTTGTTGTCTTTAAAAACAGTCTTTTAGTGTTGTTTGTATATACACACACAAATTAATTTGATTACGTGACACCCAACAAACCAATATTGTTTTAACCCTAAGGAACAGAAATTTGGACACCAAAGCAACTGCACAGTAGGAAAACAATCTGTCAATCCTAATTTTTCCCATGACATTTAATTAATGCATATTCAAGAGTCCATGAGGAGAATGTTCCATCAGCAACTTTATTAACCAATTAGGCCATTTTTTGAGCTTGGAGGACAGCCAACACCTCCCGCAAACTGACAAAAGCTCCTGAGGGAAGTGAACGGCATAAACCAAAATACGGCTGGTCTGGCCTCCATGTGTCAGGGAACGCTCTGAATGGCCCGATTTCAGACATCGGTAAGACAAAGACAGTCTGTTCATGCAACCGCCCTAGAGTTGCAATTCCTATCCATGTGAAAAGTTGGAGTAAACATAGCAAATACAATTTTATTCCACTTAGCTTGAGTAATCAAAACTATCCGAAATGAAATTCTGAGAAACTGAATTCTGAATTCCCAGAGTTCTGATCATGTTAACTGCTGTGGCATCGCTGATGCCAAAAGCAGAACTTTAAACCCTCGGGACGAAGAGGAGGTCGAGCAGCGTGCCGTCAGCGGAGTGGGCAGCTGACCAGTGTGTTTGTGGGGCAGAATGACAGTCCAGAGGCACAAGGATATTTATTTGAATGGAAACATAACAACTGAAAAAAAACTTGTCTATACACTACCTTTCAAAAGTTTGGCAGATTTCCAGTTCACTTTCCACAAAAATATTAAGCAGCACAACTGTTTTCAACATTGATAATAATAAGAAATGTTTCTTGAGCACAGAATCAGCATATTAGAAAGATTTCTGAAGGACCATGTGACATGGAAGACTGGAGTAATGATAATGAAAATTCAGCTTTGCCATCACAGGATTAAATTACAATTTATATTAAAATAGAAATCTTATTTTTAAAATGTAATAATACTTGACAAAATTACTGTTTTTAATGTATTAGTAGTTCAAATAACAATCACAATCACCTTTTTAAGCCATTTCAGAGCAAATACAAAAATACAAACACTGAATACTGTATGGTCAAAAGGATAAAAATACAGATATACAATTTCACACAGGCCAAGAATACTGTATTTTTAAAGCGCAGCATGACTCACCAGGAAAAACTGAGAGATCATAGCCTAGGAAATCAAGGTAGTTCATCACACCCACACCCTAGTTCATGGTAAAAGTGATTCCAAGAAACAGAAAAAGAGCTCATGTGTTTTCTTATTTTGCTTTCTTTTCTTCTTCTTTCTACAGCTCATTCTTCTTCCATGGATTAAAAAGGGCACCAACGACCTCCAAGTGGCCTGAAGGCTGTTTCATATAAAACTCAAATAAGTGAGCATTCGAATGAAAGACAAACAAGACAGCGAAAGCGTGTGTGTGCGGGCATGTGTGTGGCATGAAGCCAGTACACTGCTGACTGAGCGAACAGCACATCAAATTTCAGTGACAGCTACAACCTGGATTAAGAGCAGTCAAGCTCTTACAGAGAGAGAGAGAGAGAGAGAGAGAGAGAGAGAGAGAGAGAGATCTTGGCAAATGACGCTACGTTAGTTTACAAACCCGTGTGAGGCTGATGGGTGGGGCTGTTGAGTAAAACCAGCAAACATGCTTGGCGTCAGGAGAGATAAAAATGTACTAATTTCCTACAACTCCCCTTAATCTTGAGCTCTAGAGTTAATATTAACTTAAAGACATAGTTCACCCAAAAGATATAAAAATCCTGTCATTATTTACTCACCCTCATGTTACAAACCATATGACTTTCTTCTGTGGAACACAAAAGGAGATATTTAGCAGAATGTTTAAGCTGCTCTTTTCCATACAACGAAAGTAAATGGTGACCACGAGTTGTCACAATGGCAAAAAACACCACAAAAGTTCTCTGAAAATATGTGGGCAATGTTCCCCCCTAAGCTGCACACGTGCGTGGTTGCGCACTTCTTATGTTGCTACCACGAAGAAGGAATAATTTGCCGTGCAGAGGACACGCACAAAAAGGAGTTGGGAAAACCATTTGTTAAGTAAATGCGAAATAATTGCAATGCTCGGGCAAATAGCTATAGAGTTTATAGATTCATGATTTTTTTCTTTTAATATTTAGCTTACAGATCTTAGTTTAAATGCTTTGTATATTATATTATATTCTATTCTATATTGTATTCTATTCTTTCAATTTAAATGCTTTAATTTGTTTTTATTAGTGCTGTCAAATGATTAATCGCATCCAAAATAAAAGTTTTTGTTTACATAATATATGTGCGTGTACTGTGTATATTTATTATGTATATATAAATACACACATGCAAGTATATATTTAAGAAAAATGTTATGTTTATACATTAAAAATATTTATATATAATATAAATTATATTAATATACATGGAAATACATGGAAATATTTTCAAAATATATACTGTATGTGTGTGTATTTATTAGGGCTGTCATCTTTAACGCGTTAACGCATGCTCTGCTGTCTAAGTGGAAGAGAGGGGGTACGCAGAAGAATGTTAAATTCCCCAGGGGGTACGCCGCTGTAAAAAGTTTGAGAACCACTGCTGTAGTAGATATATGCAGTCAGCAGGCGGTTAACTTTTTTTTTTTTTTTTGGCATCTATAACATGAATGTACATCAGTTTACTGGATATAGCAAATGATGACAAAATAAACATTTGAAACAAGTTAAATGGTCTATGCTTAATTTCACAAAGTGTGCGATTAATCGCGATTAATCACAGAAAAGGGATGTAATTAATCAGATAAAAAATTTTAATGGATCAAATTCATTTTTGAATTAACTAATCTTTTAACTATGAATGTAAGGGGCTCGTCCCATGTCGGATCCCAAGAATGTTGCTCATCCTGGAACGCCTCAATTATGTGAAGCCCCATGCTGAGGTGTGAGTGAGATGGGACCGTAAACGCTTCTCATTTCATTAAATACCATACAAATCCATTTAGGTCTTGTTCACATGAGCCAAACTCCCTTTCCAAATGCCTTTGAAAGTAACTTTAACTGTGACGACGTGGTGCAAAAGCATTCTTGATATTCTATTGTGACACTTTGAGGATAAGTATCACCAGGAAATCTCCACAATGCCCAGTCTGTAATTCCAATTATGCTTCCACAACAGGAAAAGAAAATGACTCTTTGTCCAACAGTTGTCAGACTATCTGACACTACTGGCTTCCTAAGGATCCTGCATTGGCGTGGGTGGAACATGCCATGTCGTGCCCACTGGGCCAAAGGGCACAAGGCCGTACGGGGCCAATGGTGAGGGAAAGATTACTCCAAGAAAATAAGGGTGGAGGAGCAGAGGGAATAAAGGGAAGATAGGAAGCATCTGTTGGCTCTCAGTGGGCTGTGACTACTGGCACAATGCCATATTTCAAAACATCATGCTTAAAATCAACAAGACAGCGGAAGCTTTAGCTTAAAATATTACTGCACCAAAAATTTCAATTGCTCTGGGTAATCTGCTTGATGGATGAAAAAAGACAGTCAAGAATAGAAAAAGTGTGTCAAATTCACATTCAAGAATGCAGTACAGAGTTTCTGTGTGTGTGTTTGTGTGTGTGTTCATACTTTGTATGATTATGTCGGTGTATGATTAAGCATATTAAGTGTCCAAAACTTTATCTGTGGCTTTTTCATCTTGAAACTGTGAGACGCAGTCATTACTTTTAGTACTGGATGGATGACATTTGGCTCCTTCTATGAAAAAGGTGCCTTTTACAGTTTGAATAGGTCATTTTTAAAGCAATTTCTGTAATATTTAACATATTCTATCATACAAATAAAGTGTAGATTTTAATGTATATTAAAATAGAAAAACATTATTTTACATCATAATAAAATTTCACAATATTACATTTTTTTTAATGTATTTTCGATCAAATAAAATGCAGCCTTGATGAGCATAAGAAACTCCTGTAAAAGACATTAAAAATCGTTCTGATCCCAAACTTTTGACTGGTAGTGTGTGTGCG